GTTTCCAATCCTCCCAATATTGACAACTTCCAGTGAAAGTGGCCCATGGTAATGTCGATTGTTGCAAACTTCACTGAAGAGGGGAAAAAAAGAGGCCTCATTTTTTCACCTCGTTTCATTCCTCCCAATAATATTTACTGAGCACCCAAATGTAAAAACAGTCAACCAGAGCAGCATAAGTAATGCCTGAGCACCTGTGCAGGGGAACTTGTCTGCGGGTCTAAATGCTCAGTGGGGGAGGCATGGTCTCTGCCCCTAGATGGGCACTGTCCCATAGAAATGCAGTGCATGCAACACAGGTGATTTCAAATGGTCTAGTAGCCATATTAAAGTGAAAAAGAGGTGAACTTAATTTACTAACCCAGTAGATCCCAAATATTATCTCAACATGTAATCAGAGTATTTTAAGCTAAGTCTTTGAAAGTCAGTTGTATTTTACACTTACAGCACATCTCCTTTTGGACTAGCTGTATTTTAAGTGTTCAATAGCCACAAGTGTCGAGTTGCCCATGCCGCTCTAGATAGAGCAGGGGTTTGAGAAGAGCAGACCAAGTCCTGGTCAAAGCGGGAACTTCACAGCTGGCAACCCTCTCCCCAACCTGTTCTGATTGGTTGTTGACAGTGAACCAGCACACCTTTGCCTAAGCAGGTTTACCTGAGAGAAGCTACATTTCAATTCTGGATGCTCCTGACAGTTTTACATCTGTAGTTGGGGGCATTTCACATTTTCATTCCATGATTAAGAAGTAAAAAGGCTGAAACTATAAATACTGGTGGAGATACTGAAACGGAGTAGGACCCTATATGGTCCTTGCCCCCCCCACCCCCATGTCCTCAGCCTGCCTTCTGTCTGTGAAAAAACCTTAGCCAAAGAATGTTTAATCAGAGAAGTGAGAAAATGCATAAACAGGAAGACAGTCCAACAAAATAATAATAGTTTAGTCATTACGCAAATCAAGGACCTCTAGATCCTTTTTCAAGGGCTATAGATAATACTCTGAGCCACATCCTGCGAGCTGTCTTATACTGAAACCCCCGCCAGGTGGAAGAAGTGAACTACATGATGACAAGGCTGTAGTCACGACATAAGCTGCCACAATTCCGAGGGCTGGCCTCAAAGAAATGGGAACAAACCAACCCTGGAACTAAAGATTAACTGTACTTAAAACAATCAAGATGATGCTGATCAGACCACCGCATAACCAAATTCAAGATGACAGCGCTGACTGTGCTGTTTCTGCATGTAGCCCCCTCCCTCTGCCTATAAAAGCTCTTGCCCTCTGTCAGCTCTGGGGAGTTGGCCTTTGGACAGGCGTCCGCCCTCCCCCCAGGTTGCCAGCCTCCAAAATAAAGCATACTTTCCTTTCCACCAACCTTGCTTCTTTATCGGCTTTAGAGTGGCAAGTAGATGGACCCCTTCTTTTGGTAGCAGCATCAGTTGCTCCGAACTCCCTCACATCAAAAGTTAATCACCTGCGCCTTTCTTCCATGTATGCGTGGGCGGGGAAAGCAGGTGGCCCAGGCTATGCCGTGTGCTGAGTGGTTGACTAGCAGCGGTAGAGGATTTTAATACAGGGAGAAGCTGGGCAACTACTTTTGTCATCCATGGCAGCCCCTCCCTTGTGAAGATTTGTGGAAATCTTAAAAATAGGCACCATGAAGGACCTTGATCCCAAAGGGCTTGTGAGCCCCTTGCTTCCAAGGACTTGCCATATTCATCTTTGTGGCCCCAATGCCCTGTAACTCTACGTAGTAAGTGCCCTTTTAAAATGTGAGTTAATTCATGAATTGCCCTATACAGCATGTCTCAGTTGTAAACACACAAGGTATAAAGACAACTTTGAATTCCACGAAGAGATAAAGGGGGACTCTGGCTCCCAGCAATGTGCAGAGGCAGACACCCAGCGTAGTGGAATGACCACCGCTTTGGAGATGAGGTGGTTTGGGGTTCCCCACCCAGCTCTCTTCCCTACTGGCTTTCTGACAAGAGATAAGATGCTTAATATTTGACTGTTCAGTTTGCTGGACTATAAAAGTGGATGGGCACAGTGGTTCCCAAACCTATGGAAGCCCAATTCAAATTCTTTGCATCTACTCCCCCACATGATAAAGCAAGGTGAAGCACATATTAAAAAACCCAGAGAAGGATTCATAATAGAGCCACAAAAGTTGTAGATTTCCCAGAACCCACAAGGCAGCCATTAACCAGAACCCTCTGTTGAAAAATGAAAGAACAGGAAACAACGCATGTTTAACGGCAAAGAAACCACCCCAGAGGAAACAAAGGGCCTGGCTCTCAAGTACTCCACAGGCAACAAATTAAGCCAGAGCAAAAACTGTGGCACTAACAGCAGCAAGAGAGAATAAAGGCGTGGCAGGGGGACATAAGGAACAGAAATACTGCCATCTTGAAGCTAATGACCCTTAGGTTTGGGGCAGGCACCAATTGTTCTAAGGGTTAAAGCATCTCAACTCCTTAAAACAGTGAGAAAAATTATGCACAAGGTTTTACTGGATTTGCTTTTAGGAAATGTGATGCTTTCTGGCTACATGAGTAAGCATGGAATGTCTACAAAGGCAAAGGCTTGGGTAACATTCAGTCATTCAATCAACATCCAAAACCACATGTGCATTCCACTTCAAATTGTCAATACTTCCAAATTTTGTGTCTTTAGTTTTCACATATATGTGCATGCCTTAATGTAAGTATTCACTGAGTGCATTTTGAGAGGAATCTGGGCGCACCCTTGGAGGCAGCAGACTAGGCTCTGCCTGATGTATTATCAACCTCACAGTTGGTCTCATTTCCTGGAAGGCTCATGTAACAGGTGGTGGGCACCTGATCATCAAAAGGTTATCACAAGTTTTTAAATACGGCATCACCTCAGGGTCTCAAGGAAAGCATAGGAAAATGGCTGAGGCTGGGCAGCTAAAGCCTTAAGTGAAACCAATGTTAGGTTATCTGAAAGCTACTGCCAAGATTTGAGAACCTTCCTAGGGAAGTTAGACTGCAGTGCCTGAACGGTAACTTGAACAATGTTCAGGCATAGAAGAAGTGTTAGCAGTTCCCTGGGTGAGCCTTCCACAACTCCTGCCCCATACAAATGAGCAGAAGTCTTAGCGTATCTGAACCTCTCTTTAATTTCAGCAAACAAAACCATCCTACGACTCCTAACTGCACGTTTGGAACCACATGCTGCCCTCTAACTCATCTGGAAAAACAGAGCAAACAAAAAGCACCCTTGAGATTCTTCTGTTTAACAAGTAAAGCACTCCTTGGGTGCAAGTCTGGCTACAGAAACACCCACAGCGGTGAGGAGCCCAGGTGGCACTCTTTGGCTAATCCCAGAAGAGCTCAATTTGCCCAATCCAGGCAGCAGTCATGTTGGTGATGAGCCCACTAGTTACTCTATTGGTTTACTGCTCTGGTCTGGCAGCCTCAGAGTGGTGGGCATCACAATGACTTTATTCCTCACCTACAATTCGGCAGTTTAAGGCCCTGCTGAGAAGGATCCTCAGGTTTTCTGGAGCAAGAGAGCTCGAGTTCAGACTCTCACTCACCCTTGTTCACAATTTTGAAACTTTTTCATTTCTAGCGGCCCTAGCAAACAACATTCTACCAAAAGAAAAAGGCACATCAAATATGTCCTCTTCCCACGCTGCCCCCCACCACCCCTGTTCACTGCTTAACCCATGGTTAAGAATCCCTTGCACAATGGATCTGATCTGTCTCAATATTTGCATGCCCTATGCCAAGGAATGTAACTGTTTGATCATATGGTCTCAGGTGTTAAGTACTTATCTATGACTGAACTAAGTATTTTGAGGGAACCCCAAGACTGGGATTGGCAGGTGTTGATGGACCACACATGGCCCTACTGAACAAAAAATACGTCACTTACCTCAGTGTCAGGCACACAGCTGGAGCTCAGTAAATACGTGAATTAATGTGAAAGATCAAAAATAAGATCTGGTGGTCCAGTACGAGAATATGAGAATATGCTGCATTAATCCAGAAGACATTTAACCCATCTCTCTACTTGTGAGACTAGCACTACAGATTACGTTAGTTTCTCTTTGGGAACAAGGCAAATAGCTCAACCACCAAATATTATTAAACTCCATTTAATTTAAACTGTTTCTATTCAAACTTCCAGTATGTACCATATGATAAAACCTCAGAATGCGATGAACTTAGATTTTTTTTAATGTGTTCCATGACTTGCTTCCCTAATTTTCCTTAATAAAAAGGACAGTTCTGCGATTCCAGTTTTCATTTGCATTTTCATTGTGATTGGAATTGAACAGAGTATGAACAAACTAAACGTCCAGTGCTCCTAGTATGTGCCAACAAGAAAAGGAAATTAGCAAAATGCTGCTGGCAATAAGAACACAAGGGAAATCTGGCTGTGAAGGAAAAGGATTTTACTGGGCAGCTTAAATTTTTATCTAATAGAAGCACATCAATGTTTGAACAACTTTTAACATGAGGAAAAACTCCACTTAATCTAAGCTGACACACATTACCAGTAAAAGCAAAAAAAAAAAAAAAAAAAAAAGTCAAGTTTCTTCTTTGAGTTGGTGACAACATCTTCTTAGGCTGTCACAGTCTGATACTTAAATCATGGAAAAATTCCCAAATAGAAACTTACAGGCTGGCAGGAAAGTCAGCTGGCCCATAATTCTGTATATGTGAGTTTACAGTTTAAGATGACTGTATGTGCTTCCAGAAAAATATATACTCTAACTTAGCTTTTTAACTTAAATTGTTAACTATATTTGTGCTTCAGAAAATGTAAATTCTATCTACATTAACAATCTAAGTGGCTACAGATTGGAAAGGTACCTATGGATGGCAGGAACAGAGAGAAGAAGTGCCTTCCGCCCACCTAGTGGGTGAGAGCCCAAAGGCTGAGGAAACGTCATCCGAATCAACATGGAGAGAAAGAAGCTGATGACCTCAGAGAGAACAGGATAAGAAGGGCAGAGATCCAAGCAACAACAAACCAAAGAACATTTATTATGTGGAAGAGGCAGACTGTGACAGGGAGAGCAGGGCATATTTTACTATGAAATATATCAAACATACAGAAAAATCCAAAAAATAAAACTCATGTGTCTATCAACTAAATTGATCCAGTACTAACCCAGAGCCATATTTTCTTCAGTACCTTTAAGTAATAAAAAGTTACATGTACACTAGACAGCCCCTATGTATCCCTTCCCATATTCCCACACACTTGGTATGAATCTTTTATGCAAGACTTATTTGGGGGGAAGAACTTCGAGGGAAAAAAATAAAACTACCCCGCCTAGACAGAAGAGTGGTAAGCAAACAAAAATTAAGGCATAAAATGTCATTAAAGAAAAAGTTTCCAAGAAACAAAAACACAGGATGCTGTACTTTCTCTCCTCAGTCAAGCCTTCACTGTTTCCTTTCTCGTAAGTGTTGATCTCTGAGACTGTTTCTGCAAGAGAAAAATCAGCTATCATTACGCCTTATATAAAAACTCAATTACCATGGTTCTTAATTTCTATCTCAAGTAAAAGTAAACCAAATATTCACTTTTAACTGAAATTACTTTAAGTCAAATCTGCCAATTAAAAAAAATTCACCACCACAGTAACAGTGCTTTATGTCCAATACAGCTGTCTGTACTCCCCTTCACAGATATAAAATATAGCTGTTTGCTCTCCCTCCAAATATAAAAAATATTTTATTAACTTGTATGCTGAAATACTTACCACTTTTGAGTAACAGATTACAGAGAGTTTTATGTTCTCATCACCACATCACTCCTAGTTTAGCAATTTTACAATAAAATTACGAACAAATTAAAACAAATTTCTCCAGAGATGATGAAACACTGAAACTTTAAGCACATTTTATCCTTCTCTAAGAAGAATAATTTAAACAATTATCCAGGGCCTCCCTGTTGGCACAGTGGTTGACAGTCCGCCTGCCGATGCAGGGGACGCGGGTTCGTGCCCCGGTCCGGGAAGATCCCACGTGCCGCGGAGCGGGTGGGCCCGTGAGCCATGGCCGCTGAGCCTGCGCGTCCGGAGCCTGTGCTCCGCAACGGGAGAGGCCACAACAGTGAGAGGCCCGCGTACCGGAAAAAAACAAAACAAAACCAACTATATTTCCACCACAATGAAGGAAGTATGCTTAAGGAACCATGTATGTAATTTTTTCTAGTAATATAACCCCTTAGTTTCTTGCCGTCCAGAACTGATCTAATCTAAAATGATATTGTAGCACAGCTACAGGTAAGCAGCAAACGGTGGTACGGAGACCTCAGCTTGCATCATAAGACCTACTTTCCAGTCTGTGTGTGTGGTTTTTTGGGCAGCCACTTAACCTCCTTGAGCCTTCACCTCCTCATCTATAAAATGAGGCCTACCTTCTTTTAATCTTCTGAGCACTGTGAAGATTAAATATGTGACTATTACACCATTGTAAAGCAATTATACTCCAATAAAGATGTAAAAAAAATATGTGACTATTAGATAATGCACTACTCAAATATAAGGTATTACATTGTATTCAAAGGTAGACAACCTATATTTATTTCTGCAGTAGGGGTAAAGCCAGTTCAACCACTATGCTTTAAATCAAGTGTTTTGTTTTTTTTTAAGTAATGTCTTCAATCTATTTAGAAACAATAGAAAATACAGGTTTCATCTGAAGTTGTGTACCCAAACACACTCAATATTCTTGCGGGAAAAAAAAAAGCTTACTGCACAGATATAAAGATTAAAGCACATACAGTTCATCAACTTGATTAGAAATATGATGATTTGGTATCATTAAATTTTAAACTCAAGTATGGTACACATAACAGCAGTCAGTATTAAAACTTAATATATTAGAAAGGACTGAAAGTTGTAACTGCAAGTCAGCATTTATTAAAAATAACCCAAAACTTGTGAAGTAAAATAAACCATCTCAAAATAAATCATGAGAATCAAAACTCTTGATCTTGCATGAATGATATTTAACTTAGAACTTAGCCATACTTTCTTAGAAACAGAAACAAAACAACTGTCCATTATCATGTGGAGAATAGGTCTGACCCCAGTAGGTACCTCCTTGAGAGCTGCTACACCCACTGAGCCCCAGAGGGCAGGAGGACCTCGGGAGCTACTTGCAAATGGTCAGATATGAACTGCAGGTTAGCCAGCAAGAGTGCACATACTAAGTAAGTCAAAGATCCTTTGCTTTTAGCTAGAATTCTATCAATTCAAAGTGGTGAGAAGTTCTAACTGGCTACTGATCACAAAACAATTTCCGAGGGCCACCTTAGAACAAAGGATCCCAGGCAATATAAAAAAGCAGGGGAACCACTATTCAAAATCCACCAATGTAGTCTTGAACCACTAGAGTCACCGCAGCCAAAAAAGGAAGAGTATGTTTTGTTTTGAAATGAAATATACTATCAGTACAGCCCATTTTCTGTTCTTGGTCTCTTAGAACCTCTTCACAAAAAGTGCTAAATGTTTTTATAGAAGTACGTACAAGGGAGAGTTAATTTCACTCTAGACACAAAGAAGTTCAGGCTAAGCTTGACCTCAGGACAATTTTTACAAGTCCCTGCAAATATCATCAAGAGCTGTCTCTATGTCAAACACAGTAAGGAAAGGACGCTGCAACCCGGACAGCCTTGGACTCAGTCCCACTAGCAGTGTCAAAGGGAGCTTACCAAACAAAACCTACAAAGACAGCAGAAACACTACAGCCAGACCTCAGATCATTACACCGCAGAAGAAAGTACAGCCTCAAAACGGGTGTCACCCCATTAGCTCTGTCATGACAACATGACTGGAGATGTCCTGCTGGGGGTTACACAAGTGCAAAAACATCAAATTTAACTTACTTAACTTTTTAACAATTTTTTCATTTCAGTAAATTTGTTTTGATTGGTTGGATTGTTTAAGAGGAAGAGAAGAATCTGTTCATGTTTTTCAACCTGAGGGTGAGAAGAAATGGTGTTATTTCATTCCTAAAAATGTTGGGAGTATAATTTCACTAAGGAAATTTTACCCACTTGTTTCTGTAGCTCTGTGCAGCAGCAGTTCATCCTGTTCACCTTTTCTAAAAGCAAATGCAAAAAGCCATTAGACAACCAGCACTATAAATAACAGAAAAAAGACAACAAAACAAAACCTGCAGTCTGAACATATACAGATCTGCCCCTCAGGGCAGATCCTTTCCAACTACAAAGGACTTGATCAATTAATTTTTCATTTGGGCTTTACGTTATCTACTCCTGTCCTGGGTTTTACCAAATGAGTGCCCTTACCTCCGAGGTTTCAGGTCTTTTGCCTGTCATACACGGGATATCTCTTTTCAGTTGAGGGCAGGCCTGCCAAAGCATCATCTTATGAAATAACTAGTAAGATCCATTCTCAAATATGTGAGTTCTTCTCACTTTGATCAGGATCAAAAGGAAGTTGGAAGCTACTCTGAATGCTTGACATTTCTAAAGCTCTCAGCATCAATTCTATCAACAGTGTTGCTGAGCCTGATCTAAGGAAAATCTGGACTGGGAGGCCTGCTTCCTTCCAGGTGGCTCCTCTGAGGTGGCAACATGAGTCAGCACCCTGCCGCTGGATTTGTAAAGGATGACGACAGAGGGAACGTGGCCACGGAGAATAAGGAAGGATCAGGTCAACTAAATTGATCACATCTGTTCTTGGCTACACTTACACCTGCTATTAATTAAACTTGAAAAAAATACCTTTATTTAAAGCACTTTGCTTTTCAGATGTGATGTTTTTCGCCAGACCATACATCACCAGCTTATCAGCTATATTGATAGTACCATTCTCAGAACACTTCTCAACTGACACTGTGTGGACATTCTTGATAAATCCTTTTACAGAAAGCATTACATTCTGATTCAACATTAAATTTTTCAGTAGCTCTATTATTAATTGAGAACAGCTTCCATTCAATTCCATTGGTCCTGGAAAAAAATTGAATATTAGAGTTAATCTTCAAGTTCCTGAAAAATGATATTTAGATAAATTATCTAAGGATAATAAGCAAAAGCCTCACTGATTTTAGCTAGGTTTAGGTATGCTTTGATGTACTACTGCTGTTGCATTCAAAAAAATCAAACTTAATAAATATTCCTCAATCCCTACTATGTCAAGCACTAATTTAGGTCTAGAAGCCACAAAACAGACAAATGTCTGCCTTTGTGGACTTACATTCTAATGGTAGAAGCAAACAATAATAAAGATAATTTTCCAACTCTCTTGAGTCAAAACCAAAGCAGACTGTGAGGAAATCAGTGTGTTATTATCTACTGGGACCTCTGGGTAAAGAAACCAGGAGTAAGAATAAAACGCTACTTTAGCATTTTAGTTCCGTTTATTCAAATTCCAACTGAAGGGCTGAATAAATACGCAGATATGGTATGAATAGGAAGGAAGCCCCAAATGGTGCCATTTGAATGTCTCTAGCCTCTGTGACAAAGCAGAAAGACCCCCCGCACAAGACGTCACATGACTGACCCCAGTTCACCCTGGCCCTGCCACTTAACTAGCTTTGCAACCTGAGGCAAACCAGAATCTCTGAGCCTTGACTCTCTGAAACTAATCTGTAAAACAAAGATGGAACAAATGAACATAATTTTTGTGAGAATGAAAGAATAATAAAAGGTATGAGATTTTTCGGTAAACTCTGCTTGATATTTAGAAATCTGGGCTGTTGCTTAAAATACGTTTTTTAAAATTTTTAATTTTATTTTTGGCTGCGTTGGGTCTTCATTGCTGCATGCGGGCTTTCTCTAGTTGCGGTGAGCGGGGGCTACTCTTCGTTGCGGTGTGCGGGCTTCTCATTGCGGTGGTTTCTCTTGCTGTGGAGCAGGGGCTCTAGGCGTTGAGGGCTTCAGTAGCTGTGGCACGTGGGTTCAGTAGTTGTGGCTCACGGGCTCTAGAGCGCAGGCTCAGTAGTTGTGGCGCACAGGCTTAGCTGCTCCGCGGCACGTGGGATCTTCCCAGACCAGGGCTCGAACCCGTGTCCCCTGCATTGGCAGGCGGATTCTTAACCACCACGCCACCAGGGAAGTCCTAAAATACTCATTTGTTTCAGACTCAGTGCTATAAAAGAAAGAAAAACATCCCACAGACACCCAAATTGGAAAGTGACTTAATTGTGTACCTTCAAGGGAACATTTAATAATTTGGAAAGGAAGCTCCAGGTGGCTGGCAGAGATTGGCTGCACTCTGCAAAGAGGCAGAGTTTCAATGTTTCCATAGTCTGCATAGAGCACTTTCACATCAGCAGCTGACGTCCCCAGAACAACGGCACGGTACCAGAAATCATCACCTGAAAGTACAGAGGAATCTCAGGTGAGAAGTTACATTCAATGATGCCCTCCTCCTTTAAGATGGTTATTCACAGTTACATTTACATCACTTAGAAATTCACACCAAGATTTCTGACTTCATGCCAAGGAGTTTAGATTAAATAGGAGCATCACATATACTTGCAGATTCTACTCAAAAGACAGTTATAGGACTAAATAGAAAAAGGCCTAAAACCACAAGGATAGAGAACAAGAGGGAAGACAATGTAATAGTGGAAGGTGGAAAGCAAATATGTGAGTGGAAATGATTTAGCAGAGCTCAACTAAAGCTGGGTGTAAAGAAGCCAAGAAACATCTCAGTTTGCATCTCAAATCCCCAAGCAATCAAGGCTCAATAATTGATGCTACTCATTCAAAAGTTGGAGCAAAGATGGAGATGAAATGGGGATTGGATAACAGAAGCAGAGTTGCTTCCCCAAGGCATGTGAATAAACTTTAGTTTATGAACACATTTACACATAATATCTATTTTTAAAGTTGCTAAAGAGAATGCTCAGTTTTATGTTTACGTGTTTTAATAACGCTTAGAAAATTCCCCCTTTTCAGGTAACTGCTCCTACCCATGGGCAGAAGACGAGTTTCCTCCACAGAGAGGATGAACCAGAAAGACTACGGACTGGGGAACGTGAGGCAGAGCAGAGGAGGGAGTTTACAAGAACCCTGTCAGGCAAGCTATGCACTCCAGGGAGGAGACGACCGTCTCAAGCAAAAGCACTTCAAGACACAGGCATCAGGAGTTCCCAGTGAAACGGCAGAGCCAGGTCACCCTACAGGAAAGTCCACTAAGCAGACAAGCTCTGCCTGTGCACAAAGGAACTTCCAATTAGCTTCTCAGTGCTCCACCTTACATAAATGAACAGCGAAAGATGACCAGATAGTAGAAGAAAGTCTCTGACATGAAAGAGAAGACTAAAACAAACAGGAACTCAAGGAAACAGAGACCCAAAGACGGAGAAGACCATGAAAATTAAAGAATGGTGTTAACATCCTCGGAGAAATGGCCTTCCATCCTTGAAGCAAGTACAAGACAGTTATTAAAAACCACACACTTGAGAAACAAAAAAAGCTACTGAAACCAAAAATGTGATATTAAAAATGAAATATGGAAGGCTGGAAGAGAAAACTGAGGAAATCTCTTGGAGAAAAAAAAAACAGCAAAGGAAATTCAGCAGTAGAGTTTAAGTCCAACATGAGAATACTTGGAGTTCATAAAGGAGCAGAAAATAAAAGAAAGGAATAAAAAAATTCAGGAAAAATTTTCAAAACTGAAGCTCATGAATTTCTAAAGGGCCCACTCACTGGGTGCTCAGTACAATGGTGAAAAGAAAACCAGTGCTGAGTCACATCATAAAATTCAGGGGCTTCCCTGGTGGTGCCAGTGGTTGAGAGTCCGCCTGACGATGCAGGGGACATGGGTTCGTGCCCCGGTCCGGGAGGATCCCACATGCCGCGGAGAGGCTGGGCCCGTGAGCCATGGCCACTGAGCCTGCGCGTCCGGAGCCTGTGCTCCGCAGCAGGAGAGCCCACAACAGTGAGAGGCCCACGTACCGCAAAAAAAAAAAAAAAAATTCAAAACTTGGGATGAAAAGATTACCAAAAGTTCCAGAAAGGAGGAAAAAAATACGTACAAAGTTTGGAGAACCTGAATGGCATCTACCTCTCCACCAGCAACACCCACGATGCCTTCAAAATTTTAAGAGAAAGATGATTTCCAACCTAGAATTTTATCTACAGGTAAGCTATCAAGTAACTATTAGGGTAGAATAAAGACTTTTTCAAACATGAAAGATAACAAAATTTATCTTACATGTACCTTTTCTCAGCTTCTAGAGGATGAGATAGATATACCAAAATATTAAATCAAAAGTAAAGGATCCAGAAAACAAGTTGAGACGAGGGAGGGAGAAATCTAGCCAACAAGGTGGGGTGGGAGAGAAATCCAAGAAACATAGGCGGTTCGTGCTGAAACAATCTCCAGTATGATGGTGAAAGGAAAATTTCAGGATGACAGCTCAGGTCTGAAGGACAAGCAGTCTGGATAGGAGTGTGTCAGAAGGCTGGAGCTGCCTACAATATGATAAAAGTTGATAAAGTACAGGCAGTATTCATGGAGAGAATTTATACCAATGCAGAGAACTGGAGATCATTAGTGAAAGTATATAGGACACTAGTAACAAAAAAGGCTGCAAAAGAAAAATGTAATTATAGTAACTACGTGGGTAGGCTGTGAATACTGTTTATGCAAAACTAATAATGTAATACAGAATACTTATCTAAACAAAAATTATGACACATTTCTACTGGGAAGAAAGAGAGGGAAATTGTAGATCTAGTTGTCATACAAAAGAAGAGGGAAACAAAATACATTTTTAAACTGTAAATCTAAATTTTAAAGTGAACGCTGGGGAATAGAAAAGAATCTTACCTGTGTATCTGGCACAGCATGCATCTCCAATTTTTGGTCTACAGGCCGATCGACTTTTCCGAGCACCGCAATATTCTAACAATTCGGCTGTCAATACACACAGTTTTTCCTGATCTTCTAAAATATATATAGAAAATGTTTTGTGAAGAAATTTTCAATGCTACTATTTATAATAAAGCATGTATATAAAAAGGAAAGTCAAATCTAATCACTCAAAAAAGAACCCATATATATTAAAATATACATTTATATTTTTAAAATAGATAAAGCCAAAAAAAGATAAAACCACTACTGGTTACCTTGTGGGGAAGGGCTGCAAGACTGGGAGGGGGCAAGAAGGAAGCCACTGGGGGGCTAATTTCTTGATCAGGGTGGCTATTCTAGTGTGTTCATTCTACAAAAACTTGTTCTATTAAGCTGCAGTTTTACGACTGTTCAGTATACTTTTCAGTAAGTGTGTTATAGTTAATTAAATGAAGCAAAGTACTGCCAATTCATCAACCACATGTTATTGTCAGGACGCAATAATCCTAAGACGCTGCTTTCCACTATACAGTTTAAAGCTGATTATTCCTAACACTGGAGGATAAATTTAAGAGCAGTTATTGTTATCACCACAATTCTTGGTTTGACCATTTGAAAAAACTTTTTTTTTCATTTTTTTCAGCTTTCAAATACGTGCAAATTATTTTGAACAGCAAACTTGCACTAACTCAGCCTCTGATACCACAAGAATAAAGTTAAATACGCTGGGGCTTCCCTGGTGGCACAGTGGTTAAGAATCCGCCTGCCAGTGCAGGGGACATGGGTTCGAGCCCTGGTCCAGGAAGATCCCACATGCCACAAAGCAACAAAGCCCGCGCACCACAACTAGAGCCTGCGCTCTAGAGCCCACGAGCCACAACTACTGAAGCCCACAACTACTAGAGCCCGTGCTCCGCAACAAGAGAAGCCACCGCATTGAGAAGCCTGCGCGCCTGAACGAAGAGTAGCCCCGGCTCACCGCAACTAGAGAAAGCCCGCACGCAGCAACAAAGACCCAATGCAGCCAAAAATAAGTAAATAAAATAAATGAATTAAAAAAAAAAACTAAAATACACTGAAGAGATGCCTTAATTGTAATCTTTCACGAAATAAAAAAGGAAAAGGAAAGTCAACATTTACATGCTACTTTTCTTCATGATTAGGGCCAGTGTAAAACATTTCTCCAAGTTTCTAAGATACAGTAACACTGTGATTATAGACTGATTAGGAAGTACTTTTCCAACGTATCTAAAACTGTTTTGGTTCAAATTCTCGTAATGCTTGTAGAAGGTTAGCTTAGTAATAAGTACAATTCAATACAGACAGTACCTATTTTTAAACAAGAAATTATACAGTAATTAAGGATGTTGCTTTGTTATAAAAAGCTGTAGATGATCAAGACCAGGTGGAGTAGGTGCTGAATGCACAGCATATTCACATTCATGTTTTTATAATTAACTTTTCCTTAAGTGTTATTATGATCAATTAAAACACTGAGTGGAACAGAAATCATCACCTTCTTCTCCCCATCACTTCCTAAGGAATTCAGGTAAGTTCATTCTACAGTTTAAAAGACCAGCATAAATGTGTCTCAAACTCTGTTTGGTTTCTTACCTGGCATTTCATTTGGTAGAGCATAAAACAAGTTTGGGTTTACGATTTCTAATACGCTTGCCTGTACAGTTTTATTAACTGGCAATTCTATTGTCCTCCACTGCTCAGCTGAAAAGGTGGCTGAAAACATACGAAATACAGGTCTCTCATGAAAAGGATAACATTTAGTATTCTACTGAATACCAACATTCCCAAATTCCCAAAACGAAAATCTGTATTTTCATAAAACAATCTGTTTAATTTGAGAGATTTTGGTGTGCATTACAAAAAAGTTCAATCTATAATAAGAATCCTTAAACTATTATGCTCCTATAGTATATTTCAGTAGTATATTTCCATTTCTGTAGTATATTTAATTCTTAAAATTTACTCAAACTTTAAAGGATACATAGCTGTATGATACACGTCTGCCTGACAAGTAATTACATTAAAAATGAGTACAGGGCTTCCCTGGTGGCGCAGTGGTTGAGAGTCCGCCTGCCGATGCAGGGGACACGGGTCCGTGCCCCGGTCCGGGAAGATCCCACATGCCGCGGAGCGGCTAGGCCCATGAGCCATGGCCGCTGAGCCTGCGCGTCCGGAGCCTGTGCTCCGCCACGGGAGAGGCCACAACAGTCAGAGGCCCGCGTACCGCAAAAAAAAAAAAAAAAAAAAAATGAGTACAGTGTTTAATAAAAAAACCATGTTTCAATAAATATTAAACTAACTTTACTTATTACTAATCTATTTCCACAAAGCATATTCCTACAGGAAAATCATGTCACTTGGAATAGAAAAATTTTCACAGCCTATAAAAGCAAAGGATAACATAAATTTAAATAGCAGTTTAAAAATGTTACCTTGAAGCCATGGGGCATCAATTTGAAGACCATGTTTATTAACAGGACTGTTTTTCACTAAGTCTTTACATGGTGAACTAGCTTTTAAAACCAGATGTTCTTCAATCAGAACATCAGTAATTATCCTGGGATAAGAAGTGGAAAGATCGGTGAGTTCAACTCCCACTCCATTTTCAGTGATTTCAGCCACTCGGGCTTGGAGTTTTATCCCTGTGACACACGTCTGAAATCTTGCTATGGCTTCTCTGGTCCAGTGTTTGTTTCTAGGCTGTATATCTAACAAATAAAACAGCATTAAGAAGAATTCTGCCCTTAATATGTTTTCTTTGTATTTAATTTTTGATAGTTTAATATGTGCCTTGGCATGTTTCTCCTTGGATTTATCCTGTATGGGACTCTCTGTGCTTCCTGGACTTGATTAACTATTTCCTTTCCCACATTAGGGAAGTTTTCAACCATAATTCAAAAAGAGTCATGTACCAAAATGTTCATTGCAGCTCTATTTACAATAGCCAGGACATGGAAGCAACCTAAGTATCCATCAACAGATGAATGGATAATGAAGATGTGGCACATATATACAATGGAATATTACTCAGCCATAAAAAGAAACGAAATTGAGTTATTTGTAGTGAGGTGGATGGACCTAGAGTCTGTCATACAGAGTGAAGTAAGTCAGAAAGAGAAAAACAAATACCGTATGCTAACACATATATATGGAATCTAAGAAAAAAAAAAAGGTCATGAAGAACCTAAGGGTAAGATGGGAATAAAGACACAGACCTACTAGAGAATGGACTTGAGGATATGGGGAGGGGGAAGGGTAAGCTGTGACAAAGCGAGAGAGTGGCATGGACATATATACACTACCAAACATAAAATAGCTAGCTAGTGGGAAGCAGCCACATAGCACAGGGAGATCAGCTCGGTGGTTTGTGACCACCTAGAGGGGTGGGATAGGGAGGGTGGGAGGGACGGATACGCAAGGGGGAAGAGATATGGGAACATATGTATACGTATAACTGATTCACTTTGTTATAAAGCAGAAACTAACACACCATTGTAAAGCAATTATACTCCAATAAATATGTGGATTATAAAAAATAATAAAAATAAATAAAGATGTGGAGTATAAAAATAAAAAAAGTAAGAATTCTGTGCCCCAAAGCTGCACTTTTTGCCTCAATAATATCCAGGACTGGACCCTTCCCAAGTTTACCATTCAGGTCAGTGATTTTGAGTATCTTTTCTCCATAATCTATTATATATCTACATCCTCAGTGCCTGAGTTGCAGATAATGCACCTACAAATATACTACTGTTTTAGGAGGCTCAGGATCCTTCTTCACTTTCCTCACTAACTTATCTTCACCTGGCATTTTTCCCAATAGGCAAAAATAGAATTATTATTTCTTTTAGAAGCCACTATGGTTACATACACAATGATGAGTTATCAACTATTCTGGTAAAAGATGTTAAACCTACACTTGCACCTTTGTGAACAGTCTTCCAATGATAATTTCAAAATATCATATTTAATTATTTAACCAAAAATTATCTTTCTGGGATAACTTTGGCTCATACCCTTATTTTCGTAACAGTGGTTCTCAAATGTGAGTGTGCATATGTATTATGTAGAGGGCTTGTGAAAACAGATTTTGGGGCCCCACCCTAGAGTTTCCAATTTAGTAGTAGGTCTTGGATGGGGACTAAGAATCTGCATTTTTAACAAGTTCTCATGTTGATACTACTGGCTGTGGGGTGGAGGGGTCATATTTTAAGAAACAGTGATATAAAACATGGTGATTAAAAACAATAATCCAGAACATACTTAGTGTAAAATAAGTAGAAATTAAACAGGCAAAAGGAAAAATAAAAAGCATCTAATGCTTCTAGACATGATCACTATTAACATTTTGGTATCCAAGCTTTCATAATCTTTATGTGCATATGGAAATACACACATGCACATATATACTCATAATTCTTTTATAAAGAAATTTTTATAATAATAAAAATAGTTATAATGTTAGGCACTATTCAGTGCTTTATGCATTGTATCTCTTTTATCCTTAATGCCTTTTTGAGGAAGGTACCGTTATTTTCCAGATGAGGAAAAGGAAGCATAGAGTTTAAACAGTTTACCTAAGGTCTCACAGCTAGTGGGCAGCAGAGCTGCTTCTAATCTGTCCTCTTAATCACAATGCCATCCTGCCATCTCTTTCATAACTTGCTTCCTTCACTTAAATCATGAACTAGTCTTCACATCAACACATACTTAACATTTTAACGACTGCGTAATAAGAACGAACACTTAATAGAACTTTGAGTGCCAGACAGATCCTGATCTAAACATTAATTTAAGAATCTTCACAACAAACCTATGAAATAGGTACTACCACTACCCATTATATGGATCCTCATTTAACCAAGCCTCTACTATTGGCTATTTAGGTTGTTTTGCTATTATTAACAGCAGTGTAATGAATTTCCATGTAGGTGAACTTTGTGAAATAACATGATTATTTCTTTAGGATGAATTATTAGAAGTAAACTTGCTAAGACAAACGGTAAGAATATTTGAGGCTCTTAATGAATCCTACAAAATGTCTCCAAAAGAAAGCATCGGTTTTCACTCCTATCATAAGTATAGAAAAGCAGCTGCTTCCTTACTTTGACATCAACACTGAACATTTTGGCCAGTATCTTTAAATATATGTTTCTAAATTTTATAATATGAAACAGAAAATAACTTACACAAAATATTAAAATTATAAATATATTAATACTGAGAAATTTATGTACTCTAAGTATTAGAAGACAGTCGAGAAAATTTCTTACTCTGCACCATACCTACTAGCCAGCACTGTATCCCCTGAAATGGAAGTTTTAAAAATTTGGATGGGATCATTTGGAGTTCATCTGCAGTAACTTCTTCAATGTTTCCATAATCCACAAACTGTACTTGAACGTTTCCATTTGATAAGATTTCCTTGACTAAAGCACGATACCAATTACCATCACCTAGATTTAACACAAAATTTGTAACATGGAATATTTCCCTTCTATTAAGGTTTGAAATTTTTATCTTGAAAAAGACCATTCTTTGTCTAAAGTAGCTAATATATTTCTCTTACCAGACAACACCTTTAGTTTTTAATTCAGAAATCCCTAGAAGGAGGATTCTCAAAATTCATTCTTAGAATATCACCAAAGTTTTTATAGCATCACACTTTTACATCTACTATAAAGATTTCACTCATAACCTAACCAATAAGCAGAATATTAAGTGAAGTAAAGACTTAATAAACTTGATATTTGTCAAACTGGAAGACTTATAATATTCTCACCACTAATGAGATTGTTTCACTTGTTACTTGGTAAATAATAGAAAAAATAAACAGAAAAACATGCAATGAAATTAAGGTGTTTCATCAAACATATTTTCAAAATAAACATGCACAGGGTGACCAGAAGAAACAATGAATCTGCAGTGAACAGGTTTCCCACTCTCTAGCTTTTAATATTATCAGAAATTCTGGAAAGAAAAGCATTTGACAAAGTTAGGTAAGAATGTATCATTTGGAGGCTCCTTGTTACAAAGAGAGAAGAACAAAAAAAACCACGGTATTTTAAGCATTCACTTAATTTTGATTATGAAAAATATCCGCTTAAACATCAGGAAGAAAATACACTAAAAATGAGGTTTGAAAGTCAAGAAATAAAAGATTCTAATATAGTCAGTATTGTGCCAACTGCAACTTACCTACAAAAAAAGCACAACAAGGCTGCCCTACTTCTGCCTTAAAATTATTAGGCAACTTCTGCTGGCAATATTCTGCTACCAATTTGTTCAAGTCACTGAGTTTCTTTAGAGCTGAAAACACAATACACATAGTGTTTAATATTTTAAAAACATGCAGAGTAACAGATTTTCATTTAAAGTTGGAAAGTGTTTTGATCATAAAAACCCAGGCATATCCCCAAGCAACTATAAAGTACACCAAATACCTCTCCCTTCTCCTTATTAAGAAATTGGGCAAATAAGTCATTATTTAGTTAATACTCTCAGTAAACCCCATACCAACAATTTACTGGGCACAGAGCCATGATGATGGCATTGTTGTCAGTATGCTAGAGCATGAGCTTTGCATGTGGACCAGGAAACAGTGCACAAGAAAGGAAGTTACATATAAGCTGTCCTGAAGGAGTATATGTAATTACTAAATGGTTGGCACAGATAGTGTCTGCTAAGGACTTTCAGAGAGGTGAGCTCTGTGCACTAAAGGCTTCATAGAGAAATCTGAAGTATGACTTGTTTGCTAGAAAAGGAGAGGGTAATTCCAGAAAAAGAAACGGCTCTGAGGCAAAGTACCAAATTAAGCAGCCAAAAAAACACTTGCTGGGAGCAGTCTGGCAGAGAAGAGGAATGGAAAGGTGAATCACTGAAGAAGAACACCAGAGATGTGCTTGGAAAGATACAGACCGTGGAGAGCTTTAAAATTCCAAGTAAAGGGATCTGAACACTATAAAAGTAAAAGAAAAATATCTTTTAAATATGTGGCAAAGACCCATTCACAGAAATGGAAATTAAGTTGTATCGAGTTAGAATTGTCACCTTTCAGATTAGTCAAAATAAGAAAGTTTAAGGACACACTGCAGGAAATGGTGTGGGAGAGGGCACTTTCATACACTGATGGTGGAAATCAGCCTGGATGACCTCTTGAGGGCACTCTCTCAAGAGCCCAAGCACACATACCCTTTGACTTAATAACTATTGTACAATTCTAGGAATTTGTCTCAAGGATATAGTCTCAGAATAAAATCACAGATTACAAGAATTGTTTTTAGTGATAAATGCTTGTACACAGGAATCCTTTAACTGTAGCTGTACCTAGGTTAACTAAATTAGGGTAAACCCACCCAGAGGAATACCATGTAACCATGAAAAGGAATGAGGACGCACAGTGATGTGTACGTACCCTGGAACAGAAAAAGGCCATTACCAGAAATGGAAAAGACATCTAGCGAAACCCAGATAAAGTCTGGAGGTTAGTTCGTAGACATTTACCAACGTGGGTCTCTTAAGTTGTAACAAATGTTAACATCTTACATAATTGTGGTACTATAGAGAAAACCAGGGGTATACAGGAACTCTCTGTACTATCTTGGCAACTTTTCTGTAAATCTAAAATTATTCCAAAATTAAAAGTATATTTTAAAAAGAACGGAGGAAATACTATGTGAACTGATATCCTAGACAGAGTGGGAGAAAAAGGCAAAGTGCAAATATTATTTATTTTACCATTTATGCCTACATAAAAAGGAATATATATATTCATACAAGCATATGTATAGAGCAACTTTGGAAAGATATTAACATTGAGAAAAGGAACTGGAAGGATATTTAGAAATCTGAGAAGAGGAACTGGGAAACTTAACTTTTCACTATATTCTCTTTTGTAACTTTAAAATTTGTACCATATGCTTGTACAATCACTTATGAAAATAAGTGGCAAATATTTTAAAATAGTAGCCTATCTACCAGATGATTCTGTATGAAGGGATGACAAATCTCACAAGTTGCGAGCCAGTCAGGAACTTAGTTATCTAGGGTAACATCCTTATTTGACAGAGAGAAAACCCAAAACTTAGAGAGGTTAAAATCAATGATGCTCACCAGAATGGCTCAAGGGAAAAACACGGAAAATACAAAGTGTTTGTGAGGATGTGGAGCAACTAGAATTCTCAAACCAACAACTGCCATGATCACTTTGGAAACTTTTTAGCATTCATTGATCAGAGCTGAAAACACACATACCCTTTAAGATTTGGCCACTAATTTCATTCCTAGGTACATGTTCAATGGAAATGCATGTGCGCTAAATTTGTATGAGAATATTCTTACCAACATTTTATAGCTCAGAACTAGAAATAACCCAAATGTCCAAGAGTAGAAAGGAACAGTAAATTGCAGTACATTCACACAACGGATCACTATGCAGCAACAAAAAACGAGCTACAGTCACACGTGAAAATGATGGTCCAAACTCACAAATGTGAAAAAAAAAAGCAACAAGGCACAGAAGAGTACATATTGTATGATTCCATTTATATAAAGTTCATAATGGGAAAAACTAATCTATGCTATTATTAGAAGGCACGATCATATTTACTTCTGAAAGAAAGAAGTGGCAGTGATTGTCAGCAGACATGAAGGAAACTTCCGGGTTACTGGTAACCAGAGGTTGGTTATACAAGGTTTTGACTTTGTAATAATTTGTTATGCTGCACTCGTATTTGTGCACTTATCTGTATGTATGTCATACGTCAATGAGATCAACAATTAAAATTTTTCAAAAATGAATTTAGGAGACATTCTGTGAAATCTAAGCTGGTTTAAACAGAGACTATTGAAAACAGAAAATAATGTCTTACAATGGAATAAAAGGCAACCAAGTAAAACCAAATCTTTCTTGAAAGTACAAATACCCACTTGGCCTTTACTGGAAAGAGAACAGTTTCACCACCCAATAACAAACTTATCTTGACCTATTATCTATGCCAGTGTACTGTAAAAAGAAATAAGTAAGAGTCAACTTACCATCCTCTTTAAGCACATGGCAGTAAAATTCTCCAGGACTATACATCACACAGACCACAACATCTACTGTCTGATCAACAGCAAGTTCAACCCACGTCCACTCCAACAGACTGATTTCTGCTTCTACACCCGAGGGAACTGTGAAAATAAATGGACGATTTGCAAAACAAATGGCCAGAGCAGGGAGTTGGAGGCAGGGCTGCTAGATAAAGAGTCTGCTTTTGAAGAACTGAATGTCCAATGACTTTCTTAGTGACTTTGCAGGAAAGTTAATTAGTATGAGAATTAACCATTACTACCTCACTGAATTCCAAATTCACATTTCTGATCGACCTTCAGCTGCCAGTGACCCAAACACACTCTTTAGATGAATGCTTGATTTAAAAGGACAAAAGGTACTCAACATCAATTCTTGTTTAAAGTATGAGAACCCATACATTCACAAAGCCACCTGAATTCCAGCACGGACATTATCTGGTGGACAATTTACTTACCACTGGCTTCTTTCATGTCACTGGGCTTAACTGTCACTACCCCCTTGTCCCCCACGGCAAAGCCTGCATCGATGAGCACTCTGGTGACACTGATGTGGGGCATCACAGACCTATCCATAAGTTCCACCAGGGAACTGTTTTCCAACTGGTCCACCACTTTCACTGTGATCATTTTGTTCTGTACAATTTTTCTCATCAGATAAATAGCTTCTGGAGTCCAAATTCCTAATGATGGCTTTACTCCTAACAAAGAATTTTTAAAAGAATGTTAAAATATTTCTTATTGCAAGCCTTTACAAATTCAGCTCCTAATTTCCACAAACTTAAGGACTCTATGACAAACAGTGGAACCAGAAAGTCCCATCTGAGAAGGATTTTCTAAACACGAAAATGAAGGCAAAATTATAAAGAAAAACTCTGTAAAACGCTTCTATATTTCTATGTAAACAAACCATCATAAATCCATTGATACGAAATGTCCAAAGAGGCAAATCTAGAAGACCGAAAGTAGATTAATGGTTGCCTAGGAAGCTAGGATTAACTATATATAAATGGGCACAAGAGATCTCAGGGGGGTAATGGAAATATTCCAAAACTGGATTATGGTGATGGCTGTACAACTCGGTAAATTACTAAAAATCACTGAATTGTATACCTAAAACACTGTTTTTTTTGGCTGTGCTGTGCGGCTTGCAGGATCTTAGTTCCCCAACCAGGGATCAAACCCACGTCCTTGGCAGTGAAAGAGCAGAGTCTTAACCACTGGACTGCCAGAGAATTCCCTAAAACAGTGACTTTTATGGTATATAAATATGTCAATAAGGTTGTTAAGAAAATCAAAAACAAAAGTATCAAACAATCCAGGAAGAAACACCGGTCACTAATACTGACGTCTGAAACATCTGTAGCGTTTACTGAAAGGGCACTTACAAATCAACAACCCCAAAGTTATACCAAGTCATTTCATAAAATTAAGAGCCAAGTAACTTATGAAAAAACATCCAGTCTCACTGGTAATGAAGCAAATTAAAATGATTTAGTTTTTAGCTTATCAAAATTGGCCAAGATGAAACAATACAGAAATATCTATTGGGCAGGACAAAAGTACCTTCAGTTTTTAAAATAAAAGACATTTTTCATTTTCACTTAAGACCTTTATTGAACAACATATTCACCCTTTTGTTCCACACCTTCTGTCATTTTTCAGGCAACTTCATAATTCCATCTTCCCAAAACTTTTTATCTTTTTGAGCAAAGAACTGTTCCAGGTACCTTTTACAGTCTTCCAGGGAATTGACATTTTTTCCATTAAGAGAATTTTGTAAATACCGAAATAAATGGAAATCTGAAGGTGCAATATCTGGTGAATACAGCAGATGAACCGGAACTTCCCAGGCAAGCTGTTAACAGTTTTTAACTGGTCATCAAAGAAACATGTGGTCTTGCGTATCCTGATGGAAGATTATGCGTTTTCCGTTGAGTAATTCTGGATGCTGTTCGTCGAGTGCTGCTTTCAATTGGTCTAACTGGCAGCAGTACTTGTTGGAATTAATCCTTTGGTTTTCCGGAAGGAGCTCCTGATACAGGACTCCCTTCCAATCCCACCACGTACACAACATCACCTTCTTTGGATGAAGACTGGCCTTTGGTGTGGTTAGTGGTGGTTCATTTCGCTTGCCCCATGATTTCTTCCGTTCCACATTATTGTACAGTATCCACTTTTCATCGCCCGTCACAATTTGTTTTAAAAACGGAACGTTTTCATTACGTTTCAGTAAAGAATTGAATGCGGAAATATGGTCAAGAAGGTTTTTTTCGCTTAACTTATGTGGAACCCAAACATCAAAGCGATTCACATAACCAAGCTGGTGCAAATGATTTTCAGCACTCAATTTGGGTATTTTGAGTATGTCAGCTCTCTCCCGCGTGGTATAACGTTGATTGTCCTCAATTATTGTTTTTTGATTTGACCGCTATCAACTTCAACTGGTCTACCCAACCGTGGAGCATCGTCCAGAGAGAAATCTCCAGCACGAAAGTTCACTAACCACTTTTGACACATTTAATCAGTCACAGCACCTTCTCCACAAATCTTTTTGTGCATTTCAGTTGCATTTTTACCTTTCTTGAAAGAATAAAGCATAATATGCCAAAAAAGTTGTTTTTCTTCCACCTTCAATATTAAAACGGCTACACAAAAATTCACCAATTTTGATGTCTTTTTTTAAATGCACGCTGATATGACAGCTGTCACATACAATCTAACAAAACTGTTTGCAGTGAAGTTAAAGAAAACTAAGTGCTACTAGAGCCATCTTACGGAAAAAACCAAACGAACCTTTTGGCCCACCCAATATTTGGTACACCAATGTGTCAAGGAACTGACTCCCTACTACGTTTCTGGTAGGTGTGTAAACTAGTTCTACCTTTTCTAGGGAACAATCATAATGTGTATCACAAACATGAAAAGCATACCCACTGACACCTCCATTCCACCTAAGGTGGTATTTTTGCAAATGTAAGTGCGTTTTGCAACCTATCCCAAGGAACTAAAAAAATTAGTTTTTTTAAAAAGATCATTAATTTTTAATTGAAGTATATTTGATTTACAATACTGTATTAGTTTCAGGTGTACAATGCAGTGATTCAGTATTTTTATAGATTACAGATTATGCTCCACTTAAAGTTATTATAAAATATTGGTTATATTCCCTGTGCTGTACTATACATCCCTATAGCTTACTTATTTTATACACAGTAGTTTGTACCTCTTCCTAAGGATATGATCTTGGATAGGCTAAAAAATGTAGTTAAAAGAACACTGCTAGTAGCAGAATCTTGGAAATATCCTTCTGATAACTGGATACTAGTTAAATTATGGTGCATGTGAATGAAAAGTTGCAGAAGCTAATCTTTTACACTGGAAAGAAGCTCCTGCTCCTAGCGGGACATGTTACATATACAGTGATTTCTAAGCATATGATCGTTAATGTTCTTGCTTTCAAAAGCAGTTTCCCCCTAATTCATGCAATTGACAGGCTTCTGTGATATGTATTGATAATGCAGGATCTATAAATAACAAGAAAGAGTACTCAACTTCATAAACACAGGTACATTCAACTTCATTTTATTACAGATAGCAAAATAGTCATCTGTATTTCCTAAATGTTCCATTAAGGATTGTTTTTGTACTGAGGTAAGTTATAGCTAAACACATTCACTGATCTACTCACTAGTTTAATTTCAACTCTAATGCTCTTAACTTTAGGTTTCAATATTTTAAGAATACAGGAACTATAAAAATTACATACCTGCCAGCACACACTTAATAGCTTGCATTGGCAATTCCAACAACTTCGGAGTTATGGGGCAAAGTCTTGTCAAACTAAGGATTTCAAAGTTTCCATAGTCTACATATCCGACCAGTACAGATTCCTCAGAAGCATAAGCCAAAACAGAGGCACGGTACCACTGGTCATCCTCTAAAAATAGGAGAGACTCAATCTGAAATGATTTTCCAATGTAGATATAAACAAAAATTTTTCCTCCTCAATTTAGATGGTCATTTGTAGATTCTATTTTCATGTAACATCAAGCTTTACTGAACTATGCATGCTTATTCACCATTCCTACTTTTCCTTATCAGAAGCTTTCAACTCCTGAAATGTCACCTTTATTCATCCCTTTCTAGGTAACTCATGTTGTATGCTTGTCATTATTTATTTATTAAATGCTTAATCCCTCTAGTGGACAGTTAACTCATTAGGACAAGGGAACATGTCCTGGTCATGTGAGTGAATCCATTAGGTCTTGATCAATTTTAGAATACCTGGCAATATGAGTCAACCAGACTCCACTAACCAAGCCACAGATTTACCGGAGGCCTACCTGTCTCTCCCCTCCTGTGAGGCCACTGGTCCTCCCTTCAGCAGAGAACTGAACCCAGTCATCAGAGGGTCATCATCTGTGCAGCTACAGAGGCCGGGCCACAACAGCTATGTGCCTCCAGACACTCTTGCTGTTCCAAAGAAAACTGGCCAAGACATGACCCTGGGAGGTTCCACATTCCCACACTGATATAAACAAATGTCTGTATCAGTCTCCAGAACTAAAGGGCTGGTAAAATAAAAACCTCCATCACCCCCACCCCCACAGCATTTACAGATCCTCCTCCTCCCTTACACACTTGGATTCAGTTTAATTGGATACACTTAAAAACATAATTGGTGCACTACTCAAACTTCAAATGCAGCCATCAATGCAAAACGAAGACTGGTTCATTTCTTGCTACTTAATTGTAAGTAAAAAATTCAATAATACTCTCTTTTCCTTACCAGAGAACTGAGCACAGCAGATATCACCAATGGTTGGATAAAAATCAGAGCGTGGAGACACTTGACTGCAGTACGCGGTAAGTGACGCCTGAAGTTCAGCGAGCTTATCTGTGGATACAGATCACATCTTAAACTAAAGAAATACAAGTCTACACGTTATCTGCATATCTGCATGCTGAGTCTCTTGATGTATGTTATATTGATAACACAAATCAAGATTTACTTACGCCCACTTTGTAGTCGTTGACAAAAGAAGTCTTCTGGAGTCTGAATGTGGGCGACCACACCGCAAAACTCATCACCTACACTCAAAGTCAACACTTTGGGGATTAGGCCACTTCTGTCTATAATAATTTTGTTTTCAGCTGTGATTTTCCTGACATCTTCAAGATCACCTTATCAAAAAGCAGAAATATAAGTCTTTTTGGTTTCATTAATCCAATTTTCCAGTTTCTCAGGCCTGTGCTCTTTCACACTTCTAGGCCTTAATACATACATGCTGGTCTTTTTTCCCAGAACATATTCCCAAATCTCCCAGCAACTTGAGTATTTCCTGCTCAGTATGATGTCACTGTGAAAGGCTTTCCTCCAAATCTGGGTCAGGTGCCCTTCCCAGGGCCCCCACTGCACTCTGCGATCCTGCCACCGTTTTATAATCTCTTCTCTATGTGGGCGTATACTGCCCACAGAATATGCTCCCTGAAGGCACCTCCACAGTGCCTTAGTGAAGCAGATACTGCTGGGGGGATTTTGTTCCTTCCACTGGACCCCTTTGCAGCATTTATTATTGCTGATGACTCCTTCCCAGAACATTTACTCTTCTGTTATTCTGGCAACATTTTCCCTGTTCTCTTTCCACCTCTCCCATCACAGCTTCTCCCTTGGTATTGTAAGCTCAGGTTCACTTCTCTCACTTTACACTCTCCCTAGGACAGCATCATCATTTACAATTTCAAGCGTGATAAATTTTAGACCAGTAAGTATTGAGTTTTCTCCTCCAGATGGCCAAAAAAACTCCTGAGAACTGTTCGGCAGAGCTGTCTCACCCAAGATTGATGTTTCAGGGATTTTATATAGGCAGTACTCTAGGAATACAGACAAGAGACAATAACTTCCTCAATAACTAAAATCACTACACCGTTCAATATTAATCTGTATACTCACTTGAATCCGCACTTTGCTTCTTAGAATTTTGTCCCTTGGGTTTCAAGCCATATCCCATTTCTATGAGCACATGGTCTAAGAATTTTCCTAAAAGTGATTAAGAGAACATATTTCCATTGAGATATTATACTAAGTATTAGAGGAAAAGAATAAATACAAAAGAAATGAATCAATCACATGATTTAAAAATTACACCAGCATATTTTTTACTAGTTCAGTTTCTATGTGTAAAATATAGTTTATTAATTTTCAGCTTTAAAAATTGAGTCAAGGGGCTTCCCTGGTGGTGCAGTGGTTAAGAATCTGCCTGCCAATGCAGGGGACACGGGTTCGCGCCCTGGTCCAGAAAGATCCCACATGCCGCGGAGCAACTAAGCCTGTGCACCACAACTACTGAGCATGTACTCTAGAGCCCACAAGCCACAACTACTGAGCCCGTGTGCCACAACTACTGAAGCCCGCGCACCTAGAGCCTGTGCTCTGCAACAAGAAGCCACCGCAATGAGAAGCCCATGCACCGCCACAAAGAGTAGCCCCCACTCGCTGCAACTAGAGGAAGCCCACCTGCAGCAACAAAGACCCAATGCAGCCAAAAATAAATAAAAATAAATTTATTAGAAAAAATTGAGTCAAAATCCCCATCATCGCTTAACAAAAAATTTAATAAAAATATTTCACTTAAAAATTACGAATAACATGGAAGATTTAGTTACCACCTCACTGGCATGCTTAGAATGACCACCATTTATAAGAAAAAATAAATTTAAGACATAAGACTACTTCATCTCAGACATAAAGTATGGCTGAATCAAGTGTCAACCAGCAGCCACATAAACTTCAAGTTCCCTCAAACAGTATCCAAAAGCTCAAGTCACAACATGGAACATACATAGCAAAGAAACAAAACACAGAGATTTTATACTCAATTTCACAACAGGATTAACTGAATTTTCTACCAAGTAATCAACCAATGATGGGTCTCAAGCAACAGAAGAGTAATAATACCTTGGAAACCAAGAGGCAATTATAAGCACACTGTCAGAAGTCACTTTTTAAACATGTACAAAGCCATAAAGGAAGAACAGGATTCCAAACTGCTTCCATTTCCACAACTTAAATACTATGTGCTTATGGGCTTAATGCTAACCAAATACAGTTCTGTGAAGGTTGTTCAAAGAAAAAGCACTGATGGTAAGGATGGACAAATTCACAGAAAAATTCCTGAATTTTCCCAGTAAATGAGTAGAAATCAGGGATATTATAATGGCTGTATTAAAAAGATACTAGAGTTTTCCCACAATAAGTCTAGATCTAGCCTTTTAATGTACCAAATTCTATAAACTTGTGCCTTGTCTTTGATAAACTGCCAACTGCAAGAGCAGAGCCAAGGCCATATTTCCCGTCACAATCTGAATGACTCCAGAGTGGGGCTTACTTGGTCTCACTTCATGTTTCTATTTCTTCTCTGAGTAACAGGTGGGCACTAAATAACATATTAAGTGCTCCATTTAAAAAGAAAGATTCAGGGCTTCCCTGGTGGCGCAGTGGCTGAGAATCTGCCTGCCAACGCAGGGGACACGGGTTCGAGCCCTGGTCTGGGAGGATCCCACATGCTGCGGAGCAATGGGGCCCGCGAGCCACAATTACTGAGCCTGCAGGTCTGGAGCCTGTGCTCTGCAACAAGAGAGGCCGCGACAGTGAGAGGCCCGCACACAGCGATGAAGAGTGGCCCCCACTCACCACAACTAGAGAAAGCCCGCGCACAGAAACGAAGACCAACACAGTCATAAATAAATAAATAAAATTAAAAAAAAAAAAAAAGAAAGATTCAGATCTTACCTGAACTTGTCAGCATAACATCCACAGCAAAGGAAATCACTTCTTTTGAGATGTCCACAATCTTTAGAGAGCAGTACTGCTGCATTAACAGTGATTTAATAGTTTTGATACAATCATTGCTCCAATTCCCCTCTGCTGGGATAACATTGGCTACAAAGCATTTTATGGCCTGAAAGATTTTACACAAGTTACTAAAAATTAGTATTTGAAAGTGACTTTTTTCTAATTAATTATGCAAAGATTTTTTTAAAGACAATGTATTTCATGCTGAATATTCATCAAAGATCTTCAAGTACTAATCTGATAAACAATTTTATGAATAATTATTTGTCTCTCTTGATATTCTATCCACAATGCTTTTCCTTTTGGGACTTTAAGCTTGAGAAATCAATCAAAGGATGGTTATTATCCTTCAATTACACATAAATTCAAGTTGCTTCCAAATAATGTAATAAATATAAAAATGATTGTTTTTAAAGAGCAGATTGATAAGATGTCCCTAAAAATGCTAAGTTTCCTACCTGAGGCAGTACTTAACTAAGTAATGCCTAATAAAATGGAGCCAAGAAAGTCCATGATTGTTTCTCTACATAGTAAAAGATACACCAATAGGTCCTTTCTTATAATAACCATGGCAACAAACACGCAAATATTATGTCCATCAAAACATTAAAAACAGCTCCTTTGGGATGCTATTAGGAATTCAAAAAGTAAAAGAGACTTACACAAGGAGGAAACAAGTCAATTTTTCTGTTTAGTTGGTGAATTCTGTTTACTGGAATTATTTCTTCATTTCCATAATCAATATATAAGACTTGTGCCTTCTTCTGCAGCACATCAACATCTTGTATTATTACTCTGTTCCAGGTCTGAAAGTGAAATATAACGGTATTCTGCTTCTAAACAGCATTTCACAATCTTAGGTTTAAAAACTCTCAATCTACAGAACATGCAAAGGAAAAGTTACTGTTCTGTTCTGAGATACTCTATTAACAAGTTACCTTAATTTCCTAAGAATCTGGCTCAGAAATCCCCAAATCTGTCCATTTTAGATGCTTTAATATACACAACAATTCCCAGGCTATTCTAGCCCAGCGGACTCTGTGACACACTAATGCCTCAGCTACACAAATAAACACAAGCTCTAGGACTAGCAATCACTCTGTACCCAGCAACTGAGGAGCCTACATGCAGAGCTGGAGTGGCCTCAGGCAGGGAGGAAGTAAGCAAACAGACGTGGACTCCTGACTGAGGAAGAGAAACAGCAGTGTGACCAGAGTCTCACCTCAAGCCATCTAATGCATCATTAAAAGCTCTGGTGTCAAGCTGATAGGACCAAAGTAAATTAAAATATCTTGTTAAATATTTCATTAGGGGTTACCTGATCGACAGTGTACTTGGCAACACAAACTTCCCCCTTTACAGGAATATAATCTTCTTCATGTGCCTTATTTGCATATGTTTCCTTTAAGCTCGCAGACAGTTGGTTCATGTATTCTAAAACTTCTGAAGAATGTAACTGCACATAAAAGTCACCTGGGTGTTTGAATTCAGTAACTATACCCTTTCAAAGACAAAAAAGTTGCAGTAACTCACTGAGAACAAAGCAAATGTTAATTTTGTAAAGCTTTATAACAAGATACAAAAAGTACTGTAGACAAGTTTTTGCAATCTTTATCAATTTCAGTTGTATTTTGGAGCTGTCTTATAAACTCAAACACAGGAAACAAGGAAATAAAAATCTACAGTTCTTTGGATCTCTGTCTATGGAAATTAAACAACAAATACCTTTATTTCCATGCTTTTCCTGAGTTGTAGGCTTCTCAAATCAGAAAACATTATTTTATCAGCACAAATGGCTATTTCTTTAGTAACTCCAAGAGGACAGTCACTCTGGTTTGAAAAAACACATTAAGTGAGTTACTTACAAGCACATGTTTAAATGATACCATGGCCGGACTTCCCTGGTGGCACAGTGGTTAAGAATCCACCTGCCAATGCAGGGGACACAGGTTTGATCCCTGGTCTGGGAAGATCCCACCTGCTGCAGAGCAACTAAGCCTGTGGGCCACAACTACTGAGACTGCGCTCTAGAGCCTGTGAGCCACAACTACTGAGCCCGTGCATCTAGAGCCCATGCTCTGCAACAAGAGAAGCCAGTGCAATGAGAAGCCCGTGCACCGCAACCAAGAGTAGCCCACAATCGCTGCAACTAGAGAAAGCCCACGTGTAGCAACGAAAAGCCAATGCAGTCAAAAATAAATAAATTAAAGATAACATAAAATAAAATAAATGATACCATGGCCACTATCTGCTAGAACCGAGGTCAAAACAGCCTGACTCCCAGGTTTGAATGAGGGTGTAGAGAAATAACATACGTCTTCTAGAGTCACTAAAACGTACCGTCCATAGGCAGTGTGCATAGCACTGGGATCACCCAAGAATCAGGCCATGATGGTGATGGCAATGTTGAGTTTATTTTTTAAAAAAGGGGGTGGGGAGGGTAGTGTTTTAAGTTTTCACTTGTTAACATTTTTATAGGAATGGATTTTTTTTTTTAAAGTAGAAGCTAGGACCAGCTAGAGAAAGCTAAAATTTACCTATAAAATATGAGTTGGACATCACTGATACTTTCCAGATTGCAAATGATTTACCCCATACAGTTATCTACATGGAAGAAAGGTATTAACAGGAAAAAGTGCTCCTTAGATAACAGGGCCCTATTAGAATCCAGTACACAAAGCTAGAGAGCATGTGCACGCAGGGGCTACAAAGAGACAACTTTCTCAGTAGTCCACCTACAGCGAGACGCGGCCAACTCAAGTCCCTTTCGGAAAAAGCTGGGCATAAACAGTTCTCATAGACCCCCAACGCTCACCAAATCTATCACTAGGGTGTACAGATTTATTCAACAGGAATAAACAAACACTGGTGAAATGGAGAAATAAGTCATAAATATTTTATTTAGCTTAGGTCCTCTTATTTCAAAATAAAGGGAGTCATTAAAAATTCACTCTAAAGGCAAAGAGAAAGTAAGTATATCATACCTCTTTTTTCACTTCCATGTTCTTTGTTTCAAAAGGTGATTTATTATCTTCAAGTTTGTGGAAACTGAAATAAAGCAACCAATTATAATGCTTACAGCACAGAACCAATTAAAAGTAAGGGCCACAATAATGTTAAATTCTCAACAAAATCCACAAAGAGCAAAACAGCTTCTTCCAGAAAGAATCACAGTAGTAACAAAGTAAAACAACCCCATGCCGGCTATGCAAGGGTCTGCCCTGTGCACAGGTGTGCTTCTTCCAAAAGCCACCTAATGAAAGGGAGATAGCCACAATCTCCAAGCCTCAGTTTCCCTATCTGCAAAATGGAGAAAATACCTACATTACTTAAAACAGAGTTTGGGGGATCAAAAATTGTAGTGCTGTTCACTTCAGATTTGTATACTTTATGTTATACTTAAATAAAAAAGTAAAAAGCAGCAACTTTTACATAGTTATGGCCTGCTTACCTGATTTGATCCTTATACTACCAAAAAAAAAAAAAAATCACACTTACTTCTGCTGAACAGGTTTGCACACGATGCTGTGGGCTGCCCAGTCCCTTCTCTGGCATGCAACAGAGCAGTAGTACGTCTGCTTGCACTGTGAGCACCTCAGCGGCCCTACAGAACACAGCCCATGACACCACCAGTGTTTTATTGCAAATATTTGTTGGCAGGAACAAGACCGTTTCAAAGACGTCATTCTATTAATCGTATCAAGGAGAATATGTGAAGAGGATTATGCTGTTTATGATTAGGTGTTAAAACTGAATTTATAGGGCTTCCCTGGTGGCGCAGTGGTTGAGAGTCCGCCTGCCACTGCAGGGGACACAGGTTCGTGCCCCGGTCCGGGAGGATCCCACATGCCGCGGAGCGGCTGGGCCCGTGAGCCATGGCCGCTGAGCCTGCACATCCGGAGCCTGTGCTCCGCAACGGGAGAGGCCACAACAGTGAGAGGCCCGCGTACCGCAAAAAACAAAAAACAAAACAAAAAAACCACAGGGAGATACCACTACACATCCATGAGAAGGGCTAAAATTAAAAGGACTGAAAACACCAAATGTTGACAAAGATGTGGAGCAACCAGAACTCACTCCCAGTGGGAATACAAAATGGGACAACTACTTTGGAAAACGGTTTGGCTTTTTCTTATAAAGTTAAGCATACACTTACCTTTTGACTCAGCAATACTACCCCTAGGTTTGTACCCAAAAGAAACGAGAACATACGTCCACACAAAGACTTATGCAAAAATGTGTAGAGAGCTCTATTCATAATAGCCAAAAGCTGGACACAAGCGAAATGTCCAACAGAACAGATATACACATTGTGATATCATGTAATGAAATGCTACTCAGCAACGAACAAAAAAATTAATGTACATGCAAAAACATGGATTAAACTCAGAAATATTTTCTGAACAGGAAAAGCTTCCCACAGAGTCTATATTGTATGATTCCATTTACAAGAAATTCTGTAACTGGTAAAATTAATTTATGGTGAAACAACAACAGTGGTTGCCTCTGGGGGGTATAGTGACTGGGAAGGGACATGAGGGAACATTCTGAGAAGATGGAAGTATTCTTCATCTTGATTGGGCTATGAGTTTGTGCCTTTCAGTGCAAGTATGTTTTATCTCAAAAAAAGTATAAAAAAATATCAAGTAAAGAAGCATGGGGCTTCCCTGGTGGCTCAGTGGTTGAGAGTCTGCCTGCCGATGCAGGGGACACGGGCTCGTGCCCTGGTCCAGGAAGATCCCACATGCTGCGGAGCAGCTAGGCCCGTGAGCCATGGCTGCTGAGCCTGCGCATCCGGAGCCTGTGCTCCGCAACGGGAGAGGCCACAACAGTGAGAGGCCCGTGTACTGCAAAAAAAAAAAAAAAAGCATGAACGAACAAGAATGGTAGGATGTTGGCAGCTGTTGAAGCTGGGAAATGGGTATATGATTTATATATACTCTTCTGTTTATATTTAATGTTTTACATAATAAAAATATTTTTCAAATGTGTAAAGGAATAATCCAACAGGCATCTGAGAGCAATATGCTTACCAAACAGACCGCAGCAATGGCAAGTTGTCGACTGAAGAGGAGGTCCTAATGAGCTGAAGAGTGCTGAATCATTTATGGACAAGGAACTCTCAACCAACTTGTGTACTTTTTTTGATTTTGCAGGAGACACATTATTGCTAGTCTTCTATTAAGAAAAGAGAATAGCAGTATTAAAACTTGGTAATAATGTTTTGTTTGTTAAATATTAGATTTGGGATTTCCTCTGCCGAGAAGACAAGATAGATGTACTTTCCCTTACTCCTACCATTAAGTACAACTAAAAACCTTGGACTTATATATAAAATAAACATACAGTGACACTGAAGGAAGGCAGCAGACAGGCTAGGAACTTGGCACCCAGAGAAGGACATGGCAGTGAGTCCCCAGAGTTTTTATTCTCCCTCATATATCCCAGATGCGGTGCTGGAGAAGTCAGAAACACCCAAAGGCACAGACGATAAAAGCCCGAACAAAAAGCCTCCTCGCTTGCTCTCTCTAGCCAAAAGACCAGGAAAGGTATGGCCCAGCCAGACAGAAAAACTTTATCAGTAACTGCTCTACTCCAGACAGTTGCCGCAGAAAAAAACTGTGGCCCCATCCCACCAGCAAAGGTAGACTGGGGAGCCTAGACCTCCACCTTCACCAGGCTACAGTGAGGTGCCCCTCTCTCCCACTTGGGTGATATCAGAGAAGGCCAACAGAGTAGGGAGCCAGCACTTCATCCTCGTGGGGTCTCCCTGTGGAGACTGCATGGGGAGCATGGACTTCTGCCTGGCAGTAAAGAGTGTCCCCCATGCCCCCCAACTACCAGTACCATTGGGGTGGTGTTAAGAGGAAACCTAGTGGACAGTCAGGATTTTCCACCACCATTCAATAGTAATGAGTGGAGTGTCTCCAAACCCTTCCACCTCCAATCCTCCCTCCACCTCGTGTTAAGTAGAGAGGATATGGGGGGGGGGAGCAGTAAGGATGCTAGGAAGCTGAACTCCCACCCTTGTCCAGCCAAGAACATCCTGGGCCATAGAACAAACTTCAACCAATTTAAAAGAATTTAAATCATCCAGACGGTGTTATTCAACCACAATGGACTTACACTAGAAATCAGTAACAGAATGAGAACAGATAATCTCCAAACATTTGGAAACTAGACAATACACTTCTAAATAATGCATGAGTCAAAGAGGATGTCTCAGGGAAATGTTTTAAAAATACACTGAACTAAAAGAAAATAAAATTACAACATATCAAATTTGTGGGACACGAAGTATCGCCAAGACAGAAATTTATAGCTCTAAAGTCACATACTAGAAAAGAGGTAAAGTCTCAAATTAATAATGTAAGTTCTCATCTCAAGAACCTAAACAATAAGAACAAAATATGCCCAAAGCAAGCAGAGGAAGGAAACGATAAAGATAAAAGCAGAAATCAATGTAATTAAAAATAAAAACTTGGAGGAAAAAAATCAGTGAAACAAGACCTGGTCCTTTGAAAAGATGAACAAAATTGATAAATCTCTAGCAAGACTAACAATGAAGAAATCAGAGGCAGAAATTACCGATATCAGGAATGAAATAAGGGATATATTACTACAGACCATGAAGATATAAAAATGATAATGGAATACTTCGAACAACTCTATGTAGACTTCACAATGTAAGCAAAATGGACCAATTCCTGAAAAATCACAAATTATCACAATATGAAATAGATAATTTGAATAGCCTTATAAATATTAAGGAAACTGAATCATAATTTTAAAACTCCCCCAAAAATAAATCCCCAAGCCCATATGGTTTTTACCACCGGAGAATACTACCAAATGTTTAAAGAAGAATTATTTAACACCAACTCTATACAATCTCTATTCCAGAAAACTAATATTACCTTGATACCCAAACTATACAAAGACAATAAAAAAGAGAAAATCACAGACCAAGCTCTCTCATGAAAATGGATGTAAAAAATCCTCATCGAAACAATATCAGATATAATTCAGCAACATATAAAAAATAATTATACACCATGACCAACTGGGGCTTATTCCAGGGATGCAAGACTGGTTAAATTAAAAAAATATATATCAATGCAATCCACCAAACTAACAGGCTAAAGGAGGAAAAAAATCACAACAATATCAATGGATGAAGAAAAAGCATCTTAAAAATTTCAATACCTATTCATGATATAAACTCTCAGAAAAGTAGGAAGAGAAAACTTCATCAACTTGATAAAGATCATCTGCAAAAATTCTATAGCTAACATTATACTCAACAGTGAAAAGACTCAGTGCTTTCCCCCTAGGTTTGGAAACAAATATGTCCACTGTCACCACTCTTAACATAATGCTAGAAGTTCTAGTCAGTGCAATAAAGCAAGAAAGGGAAATTAAAACCATATATTTTAAAAAGGAAGAAATAAAACTGTCTTTTATTGGCAGATGATATAATTGTCTATGTAGAAAATTGCAAGCAGTCTACAAAAAAATTCCTAGAATAAGTGACTCCTGGAAGGTCACAGGATGCAAGAAAAACATGTGAAATCAACCATATTTTTATATATTAGCAATGAACGTGAGGACACATGAAATAAAATATATAACAGCATTTACAATCACTCAAAAAACAATACTTAGGTGTAAATCTAACAAAACGTGCACAGCTGGTAAGCTGCAAACCACAAAGTGAAAGAAATAAAAGAATATCTAAATAAATTGGGAGACAGATTGTGTTAATTGGAAGATTCACCACAGCAAAGATGTCAACAATTTTCAAATTGATATACAGGCTTAATACAATTCCTATCAAAATTCCATTAAGATTTTTTGTAGATACAAACAAGATTGTTCTAAAATGTATACTGGAAAGGAAGGAAACTAGATTAAATGATTTTGAAAAAAGAAACGGAAAGTGGGAGGCATCACTGTACCCAACTTCAAGACTTGACCATCATAGCTCCAGTACTGTGTGGTATTGGTGGAGGGAAAGACCCATAGATCAGTGGAAAAGAAAAGAGAATCCAGAATAGACCCACACAAATTAGCCCAGCTAATTTCCGACAAAAGTGCAAAAGCAATTCAGTGGAGGAAAGATAACATTTTCAACAAATGGTGCTGCAGCAATTGGACATCCCTAGCCAAAAAACAATTAACCTCAACCTAAGTCTCACAACTTATAATTAACTCAAAATGGACCACAAATTTAAATATAAAACTACAAACTTTGGGGGGAAAAAAACCCCAAAACTTTCTGCATCTATAGCAGCAAAAAGTTCTTAGACTTGACACCAAAAGTATAATCCATAAAAGGAAAAATTGACCAGGACCTAGCTAAAAACTTTTGCTCTGCTAAACATCTTGTTAAGAGAATAAAAAGACAAGCTGGAAACTGGGAGAAAATATTTGTAAATCACATATTTGACAAAGCACTAGAATCTGTAATATATAATATATAAAGAACTTGCAAAACTTGGCAGTAAAAAAATAAACAATCCAAATTAGAAAATGGACAAAGACATGGAGAACATCTCACCAAAAAGGATACACAGATGGCAAATAAGCACATGAAAAGATGTTTATCATTAGCCATTAGTCAAACAAAACCACAATGAGCTATCACTACACAAATGTGACAAAAGGGAAACTAAAAATACTAACACCACCAAATGCTGGTGAGGATGCTGGGTGCAGAGAATCTGGATCACTCATACATTCTCAATGGGAATATATAATGGTATAGCCACTCTGGAAAACACTTTGGCAGCTTCTTAAAAAACTAAATATGCAACTACTATATGACCCAAAAATGCACTCCTGGGCATTTATCCTAGAGCAAAAACAAAAATTAAAAACTCATGTTCACATAAAACCTTACACATGAATGTTTACAGCAGTTTTAGTTATAATAGCCAGAAACTGGGAACAATCCAGATGTATTTCAATGGGAGAATGTTTAAATAAGCCACAGAATACTACTCAGCAATAAAAAGCATTGAACTACTGATACATAGAGCAATCTAGGTGAATCTCCAGAGAATTACGCTGAATGAAAAAAATCCAACCCCAAAACGTACATACTCTATGATTTCATTTATATAACATCCTTGAAATGACAACATTTTGGAAATATGGATTAGATTAATGGTTGCCAGGGGTTAAGAAGGGGGTAGGGGCAGGAGGGAAGTGGATGTGACCATAAAAAGGTGCAGAAGGGATCCTTCGAGTGATGGAAATGTTCTGTATCTTGTCTGTATTATGTCAATAGCCTGACTGTAATATTACACTATAGCTCTTCAGCTTATTACCACAGGAAACAACTGGGTAAAAGCTACAAAGAATCTCTATGATTTCTTCCAACTGTAGGTCAATCTATAATTACCTAAATAGAAAAAGTTGAATTTTATTTTTAAAAAGATACTAGGCTAGAGATAAGACAGTCTGACCTTGAACAATACCTGCAAATTGAGTAATTCTTCATTAACACAATATAAAAAACATGTTTAGAATTTTTTATCCAAAAACACAAAATAGAAAAAAAATAAATAACTTACACTATTTACTTCTTTGGGTGGTGAATTATTTCCAACATTTAATGGTGACACAGAGTTACCTGGGATATAAAACATAATGCCTAATAAAAGTCAAATATTACTTTATTCCTGAAAATGTACAGTAACATAATTAGGTAACATTCAGATAATAAAGCTATACCATAATAACCTTAAAGCTACACTATAAATAAGTAACATCCTACTTTTCCTAATGAAAAAAAAGGATTTGTTTGAAATTTCCTTGACTACTATATACCTCACTGTGAACTTTTCTCCATTCACGAAGGCAACAAGTTACCAAGCTTTTTGAACTCCAGACTCTATACCCTTAGAAATTACTGAGGACCTCAAAGAGCTTTTGTTTACATAGCTTGTAACTATCAATATTTAGCATTATTAGAAATTAAAACTAAGTATTAGAAATTTCAAATACTAGTAGTTGAAATTAAAACTAAACATTTAAATATATTTACTTAAAAAAAATAAATGCATTACATGTTGACATGGTTTTTTAAAAACTATTTTCCAAAGCAAAAAAGAAAACATTGTGTGAAGAGTGGCACTGTTTGACATTTTTGCATATCTCTTTAATGTTTGGCTTAACCAATGATAGTTGGATTCTCATATCTGCTTTTGAATCCAATTTGTTATGATATGTTGCCTTAACTGTGAAGTAAATCTGGCCTCACACACATACATGGCTGCAAATAGGAGTTGTATTTTATGGCCTTCTCAGGTAACTGTGGATATTCTCCTTTAATTCACACCAAAACTCAAGTGGTAGTTTAAGGGTCAGCTGCAATGTGGAATCTAAAACCGTTATCAATACACTTTTCATACTGTTATATTAGAATCCATTGATTTATCTTGCACTTAAAATGGATTTTTACCCATGCAGGACTACAGAGCATCATGCATTGGTCTTCAGGAAAATAGAGAAACTCCTGAGTTATGCAGATCTTCCAAATGTTGACACATTTCATAAGACAGTACCGAAAAACCTTATGTGTTAATATCACCATGCATCTCACCAGAAAAGTCTTTTAAGTATTGGGAAGCTGTCAAGCTCAGAGTGGCAGATACACATTTCCTGAAATTCTCATTTTTGCTTGAAAGCTTGCACTTTATCATTAGCAACAAAATACTGTCAGCTGTTTTATTTGACGTGACAGGCTCACTTTGTCCATTTTTGAGAAAATGACTGCCAGATATCTAAGCCCGAATGACCACAGTGTGTCATTCTTTTCAATTAAAAATGACGTTCCAAGAAAAAAAGTTTCCATTCAGCTCACAACTCAATCACACACATGCTTTTCATACTTCAGTAAGCAGCAAAAGTTAGGAGCAATTCCCATTTTGTTAAACAAAACACTAAAAATACCTGTACACAAGGCTCAAGACTTATTAATAAATTTGTACTGCTTTATCAAGGGCATTCTTAAGTAAAACTGACACTTCTGGGATGTTTTGTCTTAACTGCAAGGGCATGAAAATGAAAAACAATGACCACTAGCCCAAGCTGGTACCTCTGCTAAAGGCAAGTTAACAAGGTGCCACAGTCTACTCACCTTTGCTTTTGCACCACCAGCATAAAGTCAGCACAGTGAAAAAGAGCAAATAATGTTTTAATATTATTAGGAAAATAGTTGTGACTCCAGAGCCCCAAGGGCCATACTCTGAGAACTACATCACCATAATATTAAAAGATCACATCTCATACACATTCACAGAGGCTAATTCCACCAGGCCCCAGTCTCCTTAAAAAGCAGATTTTTAGAATTAAGACTAAAGGAATGATTTAAAAAATCAAATGAAACAAGTTAATGTCTTAGACATACCTTTGTGAGCTATTACATGCATAAAATCTGCATAGTATTTTTAGAATATGGCCAATCTTTAGAACATCCATAAAAAGCCAGAGTGTTTGCTTTCTACATTCCCAGTATGTCTCTGGATTGGGGCAGGTGGGGAGGAGGGAGGCTTGTCTGTAGACACTTTCTCCTCAGGAATCCTTCTGTGATTAATGTAGCCAAAGGTAGCTACTTGGCATCTGGTTTTTCCTTCTAAATTAATATGTATATGCAAATCCTGTAAGTTAGCCATTTGGCTGTTCTGTTAATAGCACACTGGTGTATAGTTAACACATACTTTCGATAAGTCGAAGAAACCATCAGAATCAAGTAGTATTAAGCCTACAGGTTTTACTCACCTGTTGGCAGCATCGTCCTGTCTCCTTTGGATCCAGCCACTTCTCCACTGATGCCATTAGAGTTTGAAGATACTGAATTGTCTTCCTGACTAGCCAGATACTGTTTGGTTTGCTCACAAAGCAAAAAATTTTTCTTTTTATTTCCATTCTCTGGGCTTTTCAACCTGAAATTAGGATGGTTAGGATGTCCTCCGATACTTCTTAAAGACTCATGTGGTGGAAGCTTGCTTTCATTTTTCTCAAAATTAAATGGCTCTGTCATTTTACAGCTAGATGCCTCCAAATTATTTCTTGACATCATATTAAGCGGCAATTTAACATTCACAGAAGTCTAAGGGAAGAAATGTATTTAAAAGGCAACTTTTAATTCCAAAAGTAGAAGCACTGCAGGGCCAGGTGATTTCTCTTTATGTAACAGCTCTTTCTCATCAATGATTCCAAAGCAGATGTAACTGTAACCATGATGTCAAAGCCTGTTCTACAGGCACAAGAAAAGAACGATTCTTTAAGTACAAACTCCAAGTTTAACAGAGTTCGACAACGGGCAAATCAAGAGACATCAAAAGAGTTATCTCTGGATTCGACACCATTCCTTACTTTAAAAAGCTTCTGGAAACAACATGAATAGAAAAGGACCATCAAGTTTTAAACGAAGTATTTCCGACCTAAAGCCTACAACTTAATGGTGAAATACAATAGAGGGTAGTGTTTAGATCAGGTCATCCCCTACCTGTCTAGCCTCTCAGAATCCCTCTATCCTCCCCTACTTGTTGCTCTGCTATGTCTTTGACTATGCTGAACCAGGTCCTCAGAATGCCCTCACTCTCTCATCCACCTGGTCAACCCTTTCCTTCCTAGTCATCCTTCACAATTTGCCTCAGCTGATTCCGGTTTGGTCTGTTTTCCCCAAGTCCTCTGTTTCATAATGTCCAGCTGGGCTTCCATAAATTGTAACTTGTATCTACTGCTTTTAAGGACTTATCTGTGTGTGCCCTTCACTGAAAATAAGGTACACATACTGTTGCAAAGCGCTTCTGAGAAACCTCTAATCAGACATTATGTGGGCTTGTTGTTTCCCTATTACTCCTTGAAAATACTAAGTGTTTGCGCAGAGGAAGTAATATAAGTAAACAACTCTTATTTTTAAGTAGTGACCTATCGCTTTGTCTTTAGCCTGAAGACAAAACTTCTGCCTATCTTCCCCAAACTGCTCAGGAAAAAAAAAGGCAACAGCTGAAACTGGTATGAGTAATAGCTAAATATTATTTGACCTTATTTTAAATAGAAGATAAAGAGCAGAAAAATCCTCCCTCGTGGTGTCCTAAAACTTCTATCTCTGCTCTAAATCAGGCCCAGCCTAATTCAATGACAGTACAGAAAAGATAATGAAATTTACAAAAAGAAAGAAAGAAAAGAAATACACAAGCAGACTTACAGGTGGGAAGATCCCTAACAGAAGGCCGGCAGATGGGCAGCTGTGGCGGGAGATACTGTAGCTGTCAGGGAAGGCATACCTGCAGCAGATATGCTCAGGTATACCTAAACTGAAGGATCAGATTGAGAACTACTATGAAGGATGCAGTAAGACAGAAATACTGTGAAATTACAAAAGGAAAATAACTTCCCGGGCATGCTGGGTGGCGATGTGAATATTGAGTAACGCTAGACTCTGTACAAGAAATATAAAGAACATGCATTTAAATTATTAGGGCAGGCTTCCCTGGTGGCACAGTGGTTGAGAATCTGCCTGCCAATGCAGGGGACACGGGTTCGATCCCTGGTCCGGAAGGATCCCACATGCCGTGGAGCAACTAAGCCCGTGTGCCACATCTACTGAGCCTGTGCTCTAGAGCCCACGTGCCCCAACTGCTGAAGCCTGCACGCCTAGAGCCTGTGCTCTGCAACGAGAGGCCACCGCAGTGAGAGACCCATGCACCGCAATGAAGAGTGGCCCCCGCGCTTCCCTGGTGGCGCAGTGGTTGAGAGTCCGCCTGCCGATGCAGGGGACACTTCATGCCCCGGTCCAGGAGGATCCTACATGCTGTGGAGTGGCTGGGCCCGTGAGCCACGGCTGCTGGGCCTGCGTGTCCGGAGCCTGTGCTCCGCAACTAGGGAAAGGCCACGTGCAGCAACGAGGACCCAATGCAGCCATAAATAAATACATACATAAAATTAAAAAAAAATTATTAGGGCAACTACCACAAGGACAAAAACAAAGCATAACTTTAAAATCACAATCCAACAGGGAAAAAAAAATTCAAGTATGGTAAACAGAAAATATCAAATAAGATGACAGACCCAAGCCCAAGTAATCTAAATATCAATGATTCAGTCTCAAAATAGAAAAAGAGAGATGGACCCAGGGAGAAAAATATCCAGATACGTACTGTGCACAAAAGGCACACATTAAACAAAATACATGGTAAGCTTGAAAATAAAAGGACTAAAATATGTGCTATGCAAATAACCAAAATAAAGTTGGGCTGCTAATATTAATAGCATTAACAGCAGATAAAATAGAACTCAAGATAGAAAATATTGGGATAAAGAGAGATATTTTACATTGGTAAAAGAAACCCTCCCAGGAGAGAGAGGGGCCAGAAATCTCTGACTCACAATGACATCGCCTTGAGATGTATAAAGTAAAAACTGATTAGAAGAGAAATGCAGTCACAATAAGGACACACCTGCTTTAGACACATAATAATCAACAGATAGAAAACAAGCAGTGATATATATTTTACTAACACAATAAACTTGATCTAATAGGGACCAATACAACCAAGAACATTCATTTTTCCAACACTGAGACATAATGGACTACGAAGTCCACTTCAACTAACTCCAAAAGAAACTAGTACCAAACGGGCCATGTTCACTCATCACACTACACAAAGCTCCATCTCAGATTTTGCTTCCCAGAGAATCAGTGTGCAACACCCACACTGGAGGATGACGAGTTTGGGTTTTATTTATTTTTGGGGATCTTAGTTCCCCGACCAGGGATCAAACCCGTGCCCCTTGCATTGGGAGCTCTGAGCCTTAACCACTGGACCACCAGGGAAGTCCCTGTTTTATTAAAGTGGTAAAATACCATAAACGAAATGATAGCAAACATGATTAAATGAACAATTAAAAACTTACAAAAAACAGCAAAGAGGTCGGAAAATAAGTACTAACACAAAGATGACAAATTTGATACCTTTTAAAAAGTGGGATAAATAGTAAAAACATCCAGACACTGTAGCAGACACTGTGGGTAACTGACCCAAACATCACCTTCTACTTCTGATTTGCCAGCTTGAGTTAAATACTGGCCATAATCAGAGTTCTGAGTGGAGCTTCTCAGAAAGCTCTCTCCTTTCCTGATGGACAGGGACAGATTTGGCTAGCAGGGTCTTTCACTTCTTTCTTCCTGCAACACGGACCTGAGGCCTGAAGATATATCACCCACAATGCAATGAGAAAGCAATAAGCATGAGAAAGCAGCACACCCTCAGGACAGTGGAGAGGAGAAGGCAGAGTCTGGTGTCCCTGGCAGAAGCCCTGACTCCAGCCCTGATCTGCCTAGGCACAGACTTGCTGTGGCATCAGAAAAATACACCTTTGGATTTTCTGCTATTTGAAGCCCAATGGACACAGATACCAATAAAAAAAAATGAGCAGAAGGCATGAAAGGATACATAGAGGATGAAGATTCATTGATAAACATAAGGGGGAAAACATTCAACCTCATTTGTAACAAAAAAATTCAAATTGAAATAACTATATATTATTTTCTATACAGCATAGGTGCAAGTAAAACACTCATTACTGAAGGGAATATAAATTAATATGTTCTGCCTGAGAAATAAGTTGGAGATTTATATATGTACATGTGTATTATACATAATATAGTTGTATAATATATATGTGCATATTATACATATATAACATATAATATATATTCTTAAAAATATCCATAGCCACTCACCTGACAAGTCTATTCTAGAAATCATCCCACTGAAATAATCTTAAATATCAAAAAATACGGCATGTATAAATATCCATTTAAAATAGAAAAAAAAAGGAAAAAAGTTAACAGTGATGCTTCTACTACATAGAATATTACGCTACCATTTAAAATCATAGTTTTCAAAAACATTGTAAAATGTCTGTTAGAATGGCAAATGAAAAATCAGAAAAACACTGTATATTCAGTATAATAACTGCAAAATAAAAAAGAACAAAACTCCATGTAAAAAGAGATGAGTGAGATACATTAAATTTTAAATAACAGTGTTCTGGGGTAGGTAAGCTGAGGAAATCTTTTTCTTTTTCAATCTTTTTCATTTGCCAAATTATATTTTAGGATGATTTACTTTTATACAAAAAAGCATGTTAAAGATTAAAATATCACATTGCATGTTCAAACTTTTTTTCGTAAACTGTGGTTAATTTTAAACCAAATAAAAGATCACAGTAATATTTAAACCACAAAACCAGGGTACAGACACTGTTTCAAGACACCATTGGGACCCTCAATACACAGCCTTTAACTTCTGAAATTGCTTTTCTAACTTTGTCCTTATTAATAAGGCTGACAGTCAATCCTTAACTCCTTACTACCCTGTAGAGTTACCTATAGACAATTATTTTAAGTTGCTTGAGTGCAGGAACCATGTCTTACTAAAACAACTTACAAAAAACCCTGAATTCCCACGGTGCCTACCACCGCGTCTGGTACAATGCAGCACTCAAAAGATACTCGTATGGGCTTCCCTGGTGGCGCAGTAGTTGAGAGTCCACCTGCCCATGCAGGGGACACGGGTTCGTGCCCCGGTCCGGGAAGATGCCACATGCCGCAGAGCGGCTGGGCCCGTGAGCCATGGCCGCTGAGCCTGCGCGTCTGGAGCCTGTGCTCCGCAACGGGAGAGGCCACAACAGTGAAAGGCCTGCTTACCACAAAAAAAAAAAAAAAAAAGATACTCGTATGATAAAACTATCTAAAATGCACTATTGCACTGTTTTCCTGACAACCTGGACAGGGAAAGTTAAATTCACTGTCTGAAATTTCATCTAGCAATCTTAAAGGGAGAATTACACCATGCTATGAGGTTTACTGAAATTTAATAGCAATACTTCATGTCTTACCTCAACTCTTCCAAAGTCCCAAAATTAATAAAGTTATTTGACTTTAGGAAGGATAACAATCAGTTTTAGACCCAATGTAAAGTGTAAGCAGCAAACAAAAAGGATTTAAGCTTAAAAGAAGCTCCACCTATGGTGGAATATTTA